TACTATATTTTGACCTGTTTTCAATTTTTTTTTTATAGAAAGATGTAAATAATTAAGTTGAATATCTAAGGTATTTTCATTGCTATTAAAAATTATTAAAAAAATAACTAACGAAAATGTAGACGATATTAAAACTTTATTATCATCATCAAATATAAGCTACCGTTCGGTACTTTTTCCAATTTTTAATAACAATGAAAATAATTTAAATGTTCGACGTTAATCATACACCCCTTAAAATGGTTGTTAATTGATAAATTTAACGTTTTCAAATTGTTTATTAATTAATATTTTTCACGTATTTTACAAATAAAATTATATAACAGTTAAAATAAAAATGGACGAATATAAATGGAAATAAATGCAAATAGATAAAAATAAATGGTAATAAATGAAAACATATGAACATGAATAATTACAAATATAAGAATAAAAATGAACCAATATAAATGAAAATAGGTGAAAATAGATGGAAATAGATGAAAATAGATGAAGGTAGATGAAAATAGATGAAAATAGATGAAAATAGATGAAAATAGATGAAAACATATGAAAATGAATAATTACGAATATAAAAATAAAAATGAAACTTCAAGATTAAATATACATTGCCCTGAATATTTCATTTCCAGAAGGTATGTATTTATTGTGCTCGCTAACAGCATACTAATCATTGTTATTTGAAAACTTCTCATCGCGCAGAACATTTCAAATTTTAATTAAAATTTGGCTGTCTATTCGATCACATTTGACCTGTAATCAGTATGACAAGTATGATTTGTTACGTGGCAGGAATTTATACATTCATACAAAATAATGAAGGTACAAATATTTCCAAACGGAGCTGCAATGATTGACAGACTGTTCTGACGAAAAATACTCATTTTGTAATATTTTTTGTGCAACGTATTTATGTCGACACTAAAAAAACAAATTCATCAAAGTAAATATTCTTCGCTTCAAATGACTTTTTAACGAAGCAAAAACTATCTTTGAAAAATAAAATTAGAGATCTTAAGTTTCTGTTAAATCAATGAATAATATATACATTATTTTGCTATAATAATGTGTACTAAAACAATCATCACGTTTTTGTTTCCGTAAATTGTACAAAAATTGACTTTTTATTAAGGGACGTATTCATATACATGTTATTGGTATTACGAAAGAAGACGATTTTAAAATTGATAAAAAAGTACAATACGTGTGTAATATGAATGTGTGATCAGAAACGAGCTAGGAATAGAGTATTCATTAAATTATTTAAAACAAATTGCTACAGTTGTGTATATGTACATAAATATATACATATATGTACATATATGTGATATGGTCGACAAATTTCATTCTTTAAACTATATCAATTTTATCAATTTCATCAATTTTATCAATTTTATCAATTACGACAGTTACATCAATTTGATCAATTTCGTCAATTTAATCAATTTAATCAATTTAATCAATTTAATCAATTTCATCAATTTTATCAATTACAATTTCATCAGTTTCATCAATTTCATTTACGTCAATTTCATCAATCTCATCAATTTCATCAATTTCATCAATTTCATCAATTTCATCAATTTCATCAAATGCATCAATTGCATCAATTGCATCAAGTGCATCAAGTGCATCAATTGCATCAATATCATCAACTTTGACAATTTTGTCAACTTTGTCAACTTTGTCAACTTTATCAACTTTATTAACTTTTTTAATTATTCGCAACTAAGTTATTACTGATATCTGTCATGCAAATTTTTATAATTTCACCAAAACCTTTTTTTCAAAACCTCTTGCAAATATCTGTATAAATTTACTACTTCACACAAACGAACTAATAATCCATTATTTCCTGAACGAAATTATAATACACTTTTTGTTTTACGTAATCAAAACTGTGAAAGCGCTTCCGTTGAAACATATATGTTTTTTTTTGTTAACGCAACGAAGTTTATAAAGTAATTTATTTCCCATTTCCTTTTCATTTTTTTCCAATTTGTTTTCAATTTGAACGTAGCTACATGCCCAACGCATACGCGATGAGGGATTTAACATACTCGACTTGCATAACTTTTAAATTATGCGCTCTATGAAAAACTGCGTATAAAAGTTGTATAGTTTCAAGGAGAACATTATACGATACATTAAAGGGGGGCAACATCCTGAAGCGCTTAAAAATAGGGAAATTTTAGGAATTTTTATCGTGAGTTATCACTAAATGAAAAGTTTTAATCTTTCAAGAGATACAAACACACTTTTTAGTTTGATATTTCAACTTTTTAGAAGGACAGATGTTGCAAAATTGTAAAATTGTTTATCATTTGCTAGTTTCGAAACTTGATTTGTCATAGAGTGCTGGCTGCTGGTAAAAACGTTCCAAATAAAGAATTCCTTTTGATGTAGAAATAAAAATGTACCACCTAAATTGCAACGTATGACTTCTTTCATATTTAATTTATTCTGAAAATGGTGGTACTTTGAAGAAGAGAAGACTTCATTTATGATGACAAAATTAGTTTTAAATGTTTTCAAACTCAATAATTAAATTAAATAATTGAATTTAATGAAATAATTGAGATAGAATAAACACCATATTTTTTTATTTTTATGTTCTTATTCTATGTATAATATTTCTTTCAATTTTAGAAATTCAATTTTGCGTAATTTTGAAAGTTTTATGGTGGCTATGTTAAATAATATAGCGAAAGTAGAATAAGTATTAATTCTAATCTTATATTTTCATGCTTTGGCTTATATAGAAGTACAAAATTATATTTGAAAAAATAATAACTTCTTTGAGGGGATAAAAATTTGATTTGAAGTAGTATCTCTATTTTATTCGAAACAGGAGCACTTTCTGGAATAACATAACCCATCTTTTTATACAACGCTATAACTTTGTTGAATGTTTGAACCTCGAGAAAGTATGTTGATATATTTTATGAACTTTCAAAAGAGTTACAAGTAAAATATTTTTATTTCTATTTTTCTAGTTCAGAAGTTTTCAAATTTCATTTTTTCAAATATTCAAATTCCTACATTTTCTAATTTTTCAATATTCTGATTTTCTAATTCTCTCATTTTCTGATATTTCTAACATTCTGAGCTTTTAATTTTCAAATTTTGAAATTCTTTTGTTCACTAGTTTTTTTAGTTTTCTAATTTTCTGGTTTTCTAGTTTCCTAGTTTTCTAGTTCTCTAGTTTTCTAGTTTTCTAGTCTGTTTGTTTTGTAGTTTTTTAACTTTCTAGTTTTCTAGATTTTTAATTTTCTAGTTTTCTAGTTTTCTAGTTTTCTAGTTTTCTAGTTTTTTAATTTTCTATTTTTCCAATTTTTCTAGTTTATAAACTCACATATTCCTCCTAGTTTGCTAGTTTTCTAATTTTCTAGTTTTCTAGTTTTCTAGTTTTCTAGTTTTCTAGTTTTCTAGTTTTCTAGTTTTCTACTTATCTAGCTACCTAATTTTCTATTTTTCCAATTTTTCTAGTTTATAAACTCACATATTCCTTAATATTCAAATTTACAAATTTACAAATCTGCATATAAATTTTTATATTTCAAAATTTTCCAATTTTCTACACTTCATGATGGACAAAATATATTTAAAAATATTCGTATCTCAAATTTTCAAATACTCAGTTTTCAAATTTGAACTATTCTAAATGAATGAATGTACCTATACACTGAAAGCCGCGCACAGAAAAATAATATAGCATCGATCATGCTAAATGCGCGCGAGATTTAAATCAAGTTACGTGTATCGTACGTGTTTACAATACTCCTCTTCAATTCTCTAAATTATCAATACATTTTTTTCAAACTATCCCGTCATAATCTCTCACACCTTATCTGTTACTATCTCTATTGACATGTGTATTGATATATTCAGTTTATCTATGTAATTCCTTTTCAATGAGTGTATCTTCAATTTCGATGTTTGTTCTTCCAGCAAAAATCTCTTCAAGTACAAAGGGTTAAGTCACTGTTAAGTAAAATAAAATCACGAACCATTTACACAACTATGTCGAGTGGGAATCCAATTTCTCTTGAATCTTATAATTCAGATACATAGATTGATTGATCACATTTACTACTTATAATAGTAAATGAAGTAATAAAGTAAAATGAACATATTTGTCATATACTCTGTTGTAATACATTTTATTGAGAACCCCTTTCTTGATCTAGTCTGTCAATTACGAAGCTGGTAAATAAAAGAAATTAAGGAGTGAAGCACCAATTCAGAGCATAGAAGCCCAAAGCAATAAATATCGACGAACAATCGTTATCGCTGGAACACGGCTTACAATCACATTCGCAGATGAAAATCATCGGGGTAACCGGTTCTAGCCACGAATCGTCAACGTGGCAGCTAAAATCACGCGAAGTAGAATCCGTGTAGGTGGCACGTCCGCTCACGCGCGCAGTTTATGATAATATTTAATCCAGTTATAGGGAAGGGTGAATATAGAACGGAACAGTCGGGACCACCTCGTGGTGGTTAGTCGATGTCCCGATGCACGGTGTCGTTGGTTGCGGTAATCCAGTTATACTCGAGCTACGAACGTTACACGGTGCTCCACTAACGTTCCGACCGACTTTTCTTCTCCTGTTCGACGTTTACGTTTCCGCGAATCGACCTTAACAACCTCAAAAGGGACCAGCTAAACCGACGATCGTTCGAAATTACAACAACGGAATCATGGGTAGCCCACGGTTAAAGTTATGCAAATTGCACGAGGCTGGTCAGTGACGTTCGCCGAAACACCTTTGATCTTCCATCGAATTGCCGCGATCCAAACGGAAGTTTGTTCAGACACGGTGGATAACAACGTTGAAGATTCGAGCAAGGTCGCCGCGATCGATAGCTTCCGCAAACTTGTCCTAATGTCTCGGGATCGTGCAAATTCAATCAAATCGAGCTAGTGCTTGCCGAGTCTTATCTCTGTACACCACTCGTGTTCCTTTAGGTCTGACTATGATTCTTAACGTTTCCAGGTGTTTGTTCTTGTGCTGTAACGTCAACTGCATCCTTCGATTTTAAATGCTACTGCAATTGGTTCACCGAGGCAGTGTTCGTGTTGTGTGTGACGGTGTCGTTAGAGTTCAACGGAATTGACCCTTCGAAACTTCTCGAACCTGGCTCGTTTAGCAGAAAACCCTCTTGTTACATCAATCTCTTGTCAGATCAGTCTGGAAAACTCTCTTGTCAAATTAACCTTCTTCATAAATCAACCTGGCCTTCTTCATAGAAACTGGACAATCCTGGCAGCTCTTGAAAAATCAACATAGACCTTCTTCTCAGAGCTGGACAATCTTCTTAAGGCAGAACTGGATGGAACAAAGCTGAATGTGACACTAAACCTGCATAACTCTTTCGATAGAGCGAATCTGGACAACCTGTGAAAGTTGAACAACCCTGTCGACAGAGCAAAGCTTAATCAGCTCTAACCCTATTGAAGCTGGAAGAAATTTTTGAAGCCATGACGAGATGATTAGGGTATTCGAACCGAGGATCATCGAGGAGTAGATCATAGGCTGATCCTCCCCGATCAGGAATCGGATTGTTCAATGGTTCTTCGAGGAGTGGTTGAACATCATGCTCCATCTCCGGGTTCCAGGGTGGCTAGCATAGAGTTGGTCATAAGAGGGGCGAGGAGTCGCGGAGTACGTGGAAGTCATCCAAACGAGCAGATACAGAGGGTGGTGGCAGGAAAAGGACGTAAATATCCTTGTCACGGTCGCTCGGTTACGAGAAAGCTCCTTTCTTGCGGCGTTCCGCGAGTTCGGCTTTTAATGAACAACGGCACGTGGCCTTACAGCCTGTGTCGACGGGGAATAAAAAGGAGCAGAAAGAAGTCGTTCAAAGGGCAAATTCACTGTTGGCGTTCTACCGTCGAGAGAAATCGTGGAATTTGAATTTTTGATGGGAGAACTTGGCTCGTTCAAAATGGATAACGACAAAGTGAGCCGCTGTTGCGTTCGCGTGTTACGCGTTGTTGTTGTGAATAATTTAAACTTATTAAAAAAGAGTTAATCGTTGAGGAAATTTAGTAGATTTTAAGAATAGTGTTATACGAAAATCCTCGGTTAATCTTGACGAAACTAGTCGCGTTTTTTCGCTGAACGATGTAGATTAGCGGAAGGACTATAGGGATCGAAGCCTGACCGATTACCGGCTCTTAAAAGGATTTCGACCGTCTCTAGACCGCGCACCTTTAAAGCTATTCAACCCCTAAAACGGATCTAAAACGGGAGGGGAACGGTCACGTTTCAGAGTTCCTCTAGTTCGTGACTTGAAGCAAAGAAGAAAATTCGCGACCGTTTCTTCAAATTTTATACAAAGAGCGAAGCTAAAAATCGAGGAAGGTGAAGAAGGTAAATAAGAGAGTGGTTCTGTTCCTATCTTCGTCCATCACGGACGGATTTTCGTGAGCGTGCGTGAAAAGGCGTTGCTTGAAAAAAGTGTGCAAGAAGAAACGAGGATGTGCACCGGCTGGAGCATTAGGAGTATCGGACCCTTTATCGGGAAGAAATGAAGTTATCAGTGTCGGCATATAGAGCTCAGGCCAGCGCTCATAAAAAGATTCTCTCGAATTATCAACATCAGCTGAGTTACGGGGCCACCACTCAGGCGTCCTCGGCCCGGACCCCCTCTGATCCCGCGACGTTCCTTACCGGCTTCAAGGTGAGTACCATTTTCTACAATCTTCAATTAACTTTCCAACCTTTTTTTAAGGGTAAATGATCTAAAGAAGAGTAAATGATTTAAGGGTTAGGCATATATTGAACGAAGGTAAATGATCCCATTATTAGGCATATTGAACGAGGGTAAATGATCCCATTATTAGATATACGAAGGTAAATGATCTCGCTGTTAGGCATACAGGGACAAGAACGCGACCATGTAATTTATAGGATTTGACTTAGTTTTCGAGGAAATTCATTTTGTAGAGATTTTTTATGTATTTCGGTTTTGGTACTTAAATTTTATACTTGACAGGTTCTCCTTTTTGATCTACTTTTGATCAACTTATATATTTTTCAACTTATACATCTTTTAATTAGCGATGTTGCAAGTTTTGGTTTTTTTATGAAATTTATATGCGAATGTGGTACTGTATTTTTTAATAGAAATGATAGTCGTAGATTTGTAATTTTGTTTTATGAAAGTTTTGATAAATTTTTTAAAATAAACAGAACTAAGTTCTGACAACATAACCTTGTTACGTTAGTGTGTTTGAGTTTTTCGAATAATTGTTAATGAATTTTATTTGTCATTCTTCCAAACTTGACTTTTTAAATACATTTTTTTAAGTTTTCAACTTAGAAACTTGTAGATTTGTGAATTTATGAAATTGTAAACTTGAAAATTTGAAAATTAAAAAGTGGTATATTTGTAAATTTGTACATTTCTAAATTTCTAAAATTGAAAGTTTATCTAAATTTGAAAATGTCTAATTGTTCTTAGGAAAACTGGAAATTTAGAAATTTCTTGCTTTTCCAAATTAAACTTGAATATTTATAATTTTGAGAATACATATAATTAAACAATTCCTAAGTTTACGAATGAGGGGATGAAATTAGAACAAGTGATAAACACTGATGCAAAGTTGTACAAAAAGTAAACATTTCAAAAAGCATTAATACCTTTAAGAATTTTAGAAACTTTAAATTGCGAGTAACATCCGAAGTGATTTGAAAAGTTTTTTAATCCATCACTGTGTACAGTGTGCCAACCATTTAAACTTGAACATAAGTTGTTTCAGAACTATAAATCAAAATTCTGTTTGAAAATATGTTTCGTTAAACATTTATTACAAATCCAAGCAAAGATTTACCTGCATTTTAAAATTTACTTTATTTACAAATAATGTTTCTAACAAAAGCAAAATATTTATATTTGCCATAAATAAATATATAATACAAGTAAATGCGTATAATGAGATAATAAAGGACGTATTATAATAAATACAATTATCTTTGTTAAGCGAACATGAATGTTTAATAAACAACATAACGATGCACGATGTTTTAGTATAACAATGAGTTAATTAAAATTCAAAATCATCGAGGAAAAGCTTGTAGCATTAAAATAACAAACTTAAAAAAAGGAAAATGGGATACACGGCTAATTAATTTGTAAAATTAATAACAAGTTTTTGTATCTAGAAAAAACTTGTTTTATTAAATATAGGTAGAGATGAGGAAGAATTTATTTATTCACATAAATTTTATTTGTGAAACCTCATAAAGTAATTTCATTTTTATAATTACAGTAATTTGTTTAAAAGACATTCAAAGACATTTCACGTAATTTGGTTTTGTCGAATAAAAATTAATTAAATAGAACGCAAATATATAAATCAACATGTATAATTAATATCAAACAATTTAGAAAATATTTCGTGTAATTTGCTTTCGTCGAATAAGAACGAATGTCTCCACCTTGAATATAATAATATTGAGATATTAATTAAGTATAATATAGAAAATATTTGTTAATTGATTAGAGGTAATACTAATCATGAGCTCCTCTAGTCTATAAATTATTAAAAAATTCAAAATATTTCAATATATCGAACAATATATTAAATTAATAATTCTTTAAATCACAAACAGGCGTAATAACATTATTTTGTCCATAGAAATGTTTAAAATATCAGTTTATTATGGTATACTATTATGAGTTAAAAACAAAAGATTTAAAAAGATATTTAACGAATATCAACATTATATCAAATGTGTAACAGTTTCGGTATCACAATATTTTCAACGTAAATTTTTCTGTAATAATTTTTTTCTAATTATTTGATAACATTAAAAATAATAGTTAATGCATTTTATACGACTATTTATTATTGAGAAATTACTTATTTATTTATCATTGACAATTTATTAAATAATTTAGTATTGACTCTCCTATTATACATATTATTTGGCCTTTAAATCATTTATAAAACGAATTGATGAACACACTAAAAGATAAGAAAAAAATGCACATTTCGTAAATGGATTTTTCGCTGAGAGCTCTTAAAAATAATCCCAGGACATATTTTTAAGTTGATACGAAAAATACATAAAACACGAGTAGTTAGAATGAAAAGAATTAATTGAAGACAGAGGGAAAAAACAGCAGAAAGAACGCAGCGACATCTATGTGCCTGTTTTTATTTAGATTTCCATTTTGACTTTCCTGAAAAATTACACCGTTCTTTCTTGCATTGTTCTCGATTTTTACATATAAACAACGCGTTTCATTCCACTGAATTAAAACAGGCGAAAATATAACAAATTTCAGCAGACGGAATTGGATAGTTTCAAATGGTGTTTGTTCCAAACTTTCGGTAGCATATTTCTGTGTTTTTGTTAAATCATAGAACAGAATAATTATTATTTACGCTCAACATGTTTCGTGTCATATATGTTTTTCGACGGAAAAATAATTGTCTTAAGGAGAAAATAAATTTGATAGTTAATGTTAAATACTAAATGGCAAATAGTAGAATAAATAAAATTAACTGATAAATAATAAATTATAAAATAAGTTGAATTAAATAGTAAATACTGAATAGTAAAATGAATTGTATTAAATTACAAACAGTCAATAGTAAAATGAATTAAATTAAATAGTAAATAGTGTACAGTAAACAAAATAAATTAAGCAGTGAATGGTAAACAATAAAATAAATAAAACTAAACAGGGTATAACAAATAGTAAATAGTAAATAATGAACTACATTAAATTACAAAATATATAATAATAAAGTTACTATAATACAGTATTACTATAATAAATAGAGAAATAAAATTACTCTTGACTATTCAAATGCAAATATGTTTAAGTACAGTAATATTTAACAATTTACTTTCACAACAAATTTAACTGTCTAACTTGCTTTGTAATAATTCTTAAGTATGGAAAACAATAATGTTTTACATTCTATAACACACTTTCAATAAAAGTTCAAACGCTAATATAGTTGTCCTTGTTTATAAAAAATTACTTTACATGATCATTGATAGATTTTATTATTTTTTTACTGAAATATTGCGATGTTTCACATTACAGTCACTGTAAGTTAATATAAATTAATTTTTAAAAGACATAGCATGTAAAAACATTTAAAATTTATTTCATTTTAAAGAACACATGTTATTTACATCAAACGTACTGCACTAATACTTCTTCGATACATGATCGAATTTCAGTTCATAGAGTTGGAAACGATTTTGAATTCTGTAAAATGCATCACATCTGAAGTAAATACATACATCACACGATGTACCGTTGGGAACCATTTAATTTTACTTTCCGAAGTTTTCTTGTATTTTCCACCATTTTGAAGTTGCTCGCCCCAGTTACGTTGAACTCTTTGCTGTATTTCGATAAATATCTCGAAGATATTCTTCCAGAAGCGTTTGGAATGCTCGAAACGGTGGCCTACTTTAATTATCATTCTCTAACATTTATTTCACTCGTAAAACTTCTTTTGAAGTTTGACATTAGTGGATTTTTAATGTTATTTATTGTTAGGTGATTATTTTATTTATTTGCTGGGTACGGAATTGTTGAGTCGAATTTTTCAATTTAATTTTTAACGAAATGTACTAAATTAAATTAAACACGTTACATCTAACAAGATTTATTTAATAGATTTATTTAACAAATTTATTTAAGAACACTTATATTTTTTAATAATAAATAGCACTCATACAAAATAATGCTAATAAAAATTAATAATAAATAGCGCTCATAAAAATTAATGATAAATAACACTCATAAAGAACAGTCAAACTTTTAAAATATCGTGCACTTCATTTTTTATTAGTTACAAGCTCATTTGTAAATATTATATACAAGTTAAAATTTATATAATATATTCAGTCATATAGTCGCATTTATTATTGGTAATAAAAAGGGGAAACGATGTTTAGGAGAAGGAACATGTTACAAAATATTCTGCCATTGTTAAGAAAATTGTATAAAAATATTTACAGTGGCTCGAAAAAATATTTGTACACCTTGTGTTTTTGCAGTAACTTTATTTACATAAGTAACGCATAAAAAAATTGCTCGCATACTCCAAATTAACCTATAACCAAACTGACCTGTAACTAAACTAACCTAAAACTAACCTATAAATCGGGACCTCCACTTTAACGTTTTATACCTCAATTTTTTATTAGGTATCAATAACAAATACAACGTAAGTTTAAGAACTAAGAAACAACAAAAAGTTGCAAAATTACTGTTATTTGTCAGAGTCCCTTTTTAACGCGGCCATTTTTTGCTGGTTAAAGAACTATAAGTACATAAATGATTAATTACTGCTGCTAGTTTTCTCGCTGTGTTTTTGCTATTGTTATCCATTTCGACTTTGGCAGACGTGCATTCATTTTCCCATATACTCAACACCTTCCTTCTTTTTTGCGTTTATTTCATTACGGTAAAGTTTTGTACTTTGAAATTGCTAGGAATATCTCACGATCTTCATCGCTAATGCATATTACTCATATATTCGCCTGAATACTTTTGCTTCCTTTAGTACTTTGCTTTAGAAATCCATTAATCATTAGAGGAGTGGAATATAGCTTTTATGTGGTGCATAAATAACTAATGCGTTTATTGCTTTTGTTACTAGAATTAACAGAAATTTAGTAAACGAATAATTTTTATTAACCGCA